GGAAGCTTTAGAGTTCACGAGGTTAATACTGTACGGAACGAAAGCTGGGACTGAATCGGGATGTTCTTCCTTTTTTTTTTTTTTTTTTTACAAAATATATTTATGAATCATTAAAAGAAGAGTAAGCAAGGAGAAAAGAGAAAGGAAAAAAAGCAAATACAAACATTAGAGCTGGGAGCAAATTTCCCGACATTGTACAGTGGTACGGTTAAAAAAAAAAATTAACTATCCAAATTGAAGTATATTAAATTATTTGAACAATAAGAGGAAGGATTTTTAATCTGTGAGCTCAGGGCTCAAACACCCAGTATTTGTCGTTAACATTCTAATAATAGCATTTATATCTGGGTTATTTTCTTCATTGCACAGGGCTGGGTAACATTAGCTGGTCTCTGAGCATGGCTAAATCATTTTCCTATTGTTGCCAAGAAAATTACACAGATGGGTTAATGGTCACTGGGCAGTGAATTTGTCTGGAGGGAGACTTGCCGCTGTCTCTTTTATACTCTTTTGCTCCCCTGGTGTGTGCAACGACAAGAAGAAGGAGGAAGGAGGAGAGAGACTGCAAACTTTAGAAATGGTGGCTTAGGCCAGGGGTAGGCCACCTTGGCTCTTTTATGACTCGTGGACTTCAACTCCCAGAATTCCTGAGCCAGCCACACTGAAGGGAAAGGGAGAGGTTTCCAAGTTGAGCCATGCTGGCTCAGGAATTCTGGGAGTTGAAGTCCACGAGTCACAAAAGAACCAAGGTTGCCTACCCCTGGCCTAGGGACTACTGCTTGAGCAGGGGGTGGACTAGAAGACCTCCAAGGTCCCTTCCTGCTCTGTTATTCTGTTATTTTGAATGGTCTAGGCCAGGGGTAACTGGCTCTTTTATGACTGGTGGACTTCAACTCCCAGAATTCCTGAGCCAGCCGTGCTGAGAGGAAAGGGAGAGCTTTCCAAGCTGAGCCATGCAGGCTCAGGAATTCTGGGATTGAAGTCCACGAGTCATAAAAGAACCAGTTACCTACCCCTGGCCTAGACCATTCAGAATAACAGAATAACAGAGCTGGAAGGGACCTTGGAGGTCTTCTAGTCCACCCCCTGCTCAAGCAGGAATCCCTAGACCAGGGGTAGGCAATCTTCACTCTTTTATGACTCGTGGACTTCAGCTCCCAGAATTCCTGAGCCAGGCTGGCTCAGCTTGGAAACCTCTCCCTTTCCCCTCAGCGTGGCTGGCTCAGGAATTCTGGGAGTTGAAGTTCACCAGTCATAAAAGAGCCAAGGGTGCCTACCCCGATCTTGGTTTTTTTTTTTAATTGATAAGAGCCTTCACCCCCCCCCCCGCTCGACTTATGGCGAGTCTTCAGCTTACGCCTTACGACGACAATCGAGGCCAACCTTTCCGTTGCTAAGCGAAACTTGCGTTCAGTGAGTTTGGCCCCATTTGATCGAGCTTTCTTGACACCAGTTGTTAAGCAGGTGGTAAGTGAGCCATGCGGTTATTAAGTGAATCCGGCTCCCCCCTGTTGACTTTGCTGGTTAGAAGGTAGGCAAAGGGGACCCCAGGACACTTTCGATTGTCAGTTGGCCAGCGGCTGAATTTTTGAAGTCGCAAGTCACAATTTTGAAGTCCAGAAGCAGTGAATGCTCCAATGCTGGCAGTTTTGAAGAAGAGACTGGACAGCCATTTGTCTGAAACGGTATAGGGTTTCCTGCCTGAGTAGGGGGTTGGACTAGACGACCTCCAAGGTCCCTTCCAACTTTATTATTATTATTAAGTTGCCATTATGTGACGCCTTGCTTGAGGACCACAGTCTTAACGATGGATTTTCCAGTCCTTATTTTGTGTCCCTAACTCGAGGGCTACCAGTATAAAAACACAGGTAGTCCCTGATGTACGATGGTTCATTTAGTGACCGTTCAAAAATTTACAACGGCACTGAAAAAAGCGCTTTTCACATTGAACGACCGTTTCAGCGTCTCCCACGATCGCGAGATCCGAATTCAGACGCTTGGCAAATGACTCGTATTTATGATGGTTGCAGTGATTCACTTAACAACGGTGTCGAGAAAGGTCGTAAAATGGAGCAAAACTCACTTAACAAATGTCTCACTTAACAACATTCATTTTGGGCTTAATTGCAGTCTTAAGTGAAGGACTATTTGTACAGCAACCCCTTCAATCTGGTTGAGCGCCTTTTCTCTTCTGAATTACATGTTTCCCCCCCAAAAAAATCTCAATTTTCTATGTTTTTCTGTCACATCAGGAAATGCTACCACATGGGGTTTAATTCCCTTTGCTTCCTTTCTCTCTGAGATTAAGAAGTAGAGCAGAAAAAACCATTTTTAAATAGCTGCCCCCAGTGATTTTTGCTTAACGGACGTGGCTTCCATTCTTTTTGTCCAAAATATTATTCCCTGAGATCAAACCTGCTATTTTTTTTTCCCCCCCGATTCAGGTTAAGCAACATTGTGCAAGCACAGGAAAAAACTAATGAACGAAAGGAAATGAAAGGCAGGTGCTAAGAGACAAGAAAAAAAAAATATTGGTGTGAAATGAGAAAGAAAAAAAAAAGAAAAAAGAGCTTGTTTTGAAGATTAGTCAGCCGGCTCAAAAGTTCAAACCTTTTGCAAAAGGAATAAAAAAACCCCTACATTTGATTTAAACTGAATTACGATCGTATTAAATTCGGTAAATACAAGGTCTAAGTCGAGTCTTCAGTGGTTAGAAGGGTCCAGCCTCTATTTAATGCCGCGACCCCCAACCGGTCATAAGTCGAGGACTACTCAACCAGTCGTAAGTCGAGGACTACTCAACTGGTGCAGCACCGTTTGCAGAATGGGGCTTTTGGCGGGCTCAGCAGGGCAGAGACAGCCTGGACAATTCCTATTGGCTTTGGAAAGCCAATAGAATTAGACTCTATTCAAGAGAGTCTACTCTATTGGCTTTCGAAAGCCAATAGAATAAAAGGGAGTAGCACAGCTAAGGAAAAGGGGGAAAAAATGGCGGACTGCGTTGTTTGGCGATCCCTGTGAAATGGTCGTTCGACCCCAAATGGGGTCCCGACCCACAGGTGGAGAACCACTGCTCTATTTGAATCTGCTTCTATTGCCCCCTGCCCCAGTACCAAGCTTGGCTCAATTACTTGAGACATCTATTGTGCAAGATCCGATCTCGGATGCTTCTTGTTGGGACGATTTGGTAAGCTCCGAAGCTTCCTTCTTCTCCTGGGCTGCCTCTGCCTTGGCTGTCAGGGCCGATCCATCTTCTTGACGGCGGGATGTCATCTCTCATGTCGCGCTTGACTGCCCTTTGCACCCAGCCGGGGACTTCGTTGCCTCGCACTCGGCACACACGAGGCAAGGGAGGTTTCTGGGGTTCAATTTGGCCCGAGGGGTGAGAATGGAAAACAACTTTCTCCGGGCAGCTTCATTGGGTCGAAGCTGAGAGATTGTCCTGAGGGAGACGACGGGTCAGTTTATATCCATCAAAGCCTGTTGCTATTATTATTATCATTATCATCATCATCGTTATTGTTTGTTGTTATTGTTTTATTTAGTGTAGGGCATATGACACATGGACAAGCAGTATATATTAACATTTCACCTAGAGTAATAAAACACCATAAATTATAAATGTCATTTAGGCCATCTAACCCTTGAAGCAGCAGCATCGTTTATATATATCCGGGGTCTTCAAACTTGGCCCTTTTATGACTTGTGGACTTTAACTCCCAGAATTCCTCAGCCAGGTATGCTGGGCTGAGGAATTCTGGGAGTTGAAGTCCACAAGCAGGGCTCTTCAAACTTGGCCCTTTTATGACTTGCGGACTTCAACTCCCAGAATTCCTCAGCTTGGCACACTGGCTGAGGAATCATGGGAGTTGAAGTTTGCAAGTCACAAAAGAGCCAAGTTTGAAGACCCCTGATATATACATATATATGTGTAGGGTTTCCTGCCTGAGCAGGAGGTTGGACTAGATGATCTCCAAGGTCCATTCCAACTACTACTACTACTACTACTACTACTACTACTACTACTACTACTACTACTTCTTCTTCTTCTTCTTCTCCTTCTCCTTCACTACTACTACTACTACTTCTTCTTCTCCTCCTTCTTCTTCCTCCTCCTCCTATTATGGATCATCGCACAGTCAGCCAGATGTTCAGACTGGATTTGGCATTTTGTCTACCTACCGAGTCCTTACCCAGGACCTGGGATAGGCAGATGTGGATGTTTGATGGTATTACAGATATCGTCGCAGGATGGAAGCAGTTCCTAGTAAGGCCGCCTTTTGCAATTGACTAATAGCGAATTTGTCAATGCCAATGGTGTTCAAGTGGTGCTCCAGTTGTTTTGGGATTGCACCCAAGGAGCCTATGACTATTGGTACTACCCTTGCTTGCTTTTGCCACAGTCTTTCTATTTCTATTTGTAGGTCTTTGTATTTTGTGATCTTCTCCAGTTCTTTCTCGTCTATTCCGCTGTCTCCAGGCACTGCCACGTCCACTATCCAGACTTTTTTGTCTTTCTTATCGACAATTGTTAAGTCTGGGGTGTTATGTTGCAGGTGCTTGTCTGTTTGAATTCTGAAGTCCCAGAGCAGTTTAATTTTATCATTTTCTATGACTTTGCCTATTTTATGATCCCACCCGTTTTTGCTTACAGGCAGATGATATTTCTTGCAGATCTTCCAATGCACCATTGTTGCTACTTTGTCGTGCCGCTGCTTGTAGTCAGTCTGTGCAATCTTCTTGCAACAGCTTACCAAGAAGATTCAAGATGATGATGATAATGATGATGATGATTATTATTATTATTACTACCCCCGAGGTCCCTTCCAACTCTATTATTCTCTTATTCTGTTATCTGTGGCACTTTATCCAGGGATTGCAGATGGGGGAACAAACCTGGAGGGCCTATTTGTCCTTGGAAGTGGATCCCAACTCTACCTGAGGTGGTGGATCTAGTAACTCCTTCCTTCCCATCCTAATGCTGGCATTCTCCTTCGCAGAAAGCATCCGTAAAGTTCTCAACCGGCCTGCCGTCCATCTCCTGGTGAGGGTGAAGCTCGAAACCAAACCCAAGAAAAATGAAGACCGGGTGCTGGTGAGATTTTTCCGGGGAGATGGCAAAGACCGGATTGTGATATGGGGATAACCCACGGTGGAGAGTTGCGTGCAAACACACTCGCTGCTACCTTGTGGTGGAGCAGCGCCATGTCCTCGGGTTCACTGTACAATCTGCGCTTTTCCCAGAATCCTCTGGGAAAAGAGTAGATGGGAGGACCTTCTCCTTTCTCCTCCCTTCCCAGAATCCCCTGGAAGGATCTTCCCTCTCCTCCCTTCCCAGAATCCCCTGGAAGGACCTTCCCCTTTCTCCTCCCTTCCCAGAATCTCATGGAAGGACCTTCCCCTCTCTTCTCCTTTCCCAGAATCCCCTGGAAGGACCTTCCCCTTTCCCTTCCTTCCCAGAATCCCCCAGTAGGACCTTCCCTTTTCTCCTCCCTTCCCAGAATCTCCCGGAAGGACTTTCCCCTCTCTCCTCCCTTCCCAGAATCCCCTGGAAGGACTTTCCCCTCTCTCCTCCCTTCCCAGAATCCCCTGGGAGGACCTTCCCCTCTCTCCTCCCTTCCCAGAATCCCCTAGGAGGACCTTCCCCTCTCTCCTCCCTTCCCAGAATCCCCTGGAAGGACCTTTCTCTCTCCTCGTTTCCCAGAATGCCCTGGGACCTTCCCCTTTCTCCTCCCTTCCCAGAATCCCCTGGGAGGATTGCCCCTTTCTCCTCCCTTCCCAGAATCCCCTAGAAGGACCTTCCCCTCTCTTCTCCTTTCCCAGAATCCCCTGGAAGGATCTTCCCCTTCTCCCTTCCCAGAATGCCCTGGAGGGACCTTCCCCTTTCTCCCTTCCTAGAATCCCCTAGAAGGACCTTCCCCTTCTTCTCCTTTCCCAGAATGCCCTGGAAGGACCTTCCCCTTTCTCCTCCCTTCCCAGAATGCCCTGGGAGGATCTGTCCCTAGCAGCAGACTCCCAGAGGCATTGGGTTCAGGCTGTTAAGTCAACCGGTAGAGTTTTCTCCACCCCAAGGAGGAAAAGGCCACACCTTCTAGCTTGCTGCTTTTCGAGTTTTGTTTTTGGAAACAGCAGCAGCCAACGTACAGACAGGTAGTCCTCGACTTACAGCAGTTCATTTAGTGACCGTTCGAAGTCACACTGAAAAAGGGACTTGTGGCCGTTTTTCACACTTAACGGCCGATGCAGCATCCCCCATGGGCACGTGATCAAAATTCAGACCCCTGGCAACTGACTCTTATTCATGACGGTCGCAGCATCCCCGGGTCGTAAGTCGAGGTATTATATGTATAAAACAGCTGCTGCTGAATCGGAATGCCGAAATTTAAATTTAACTTAAGCGAGCACCTTAAACTTTGAAGTTGAAGCTCTTAGTTGAGTGAGCTGCACTGATTGTGGGAGTTTGCAATTTTCCCATTGCAAAATACCCAGCATTTTTTGCACCCTGAACAGATCCTAACCTCAGAATCAGAATAAAGCTGGAAGGGACCTTGGAGGTCTTCTAGTCCAGCCCCCTCCTCAAGCAGAAGAACCTATACCATTTCAGACGAGAGACTGTCCAGTCTCTTCTTAAAGGCCTCCAGTGATGGAGCACCCACAATTTCTGGTGGCAAGCTGTTCCACTGGTTAATTGTCCTCAGTGTTAGGAAGATTCTCCTTAACTCCAGATGGCTTCTCTCCTTGATTAGTTTCCATCCGTTGCTTCTTGTCCTGCCTTCAGGCGCTTTGGAGAATAGGTGGACCCCCTCTTTTGTGTGGCAGCCCCCCAAATACTGGAAGACTGCTATCATGTCCCCCCCCCCCCACAAGTCCTTCTTTTCTCTAGACTGGCCATACCCAGTTCCTGCAACCGTTCTTCCTATGTTTTTGTCTCCAGGCTTTAAAATCATCTAAGTTGCTCTTCTTTGCACTTTTTCGAAAGTCTCAACATCTTTCTTTGTAATGTGGGGACCAAAACTGAACGCAGGATTCGATTCCTCCCTAGAGGCTTTATAAAGCGCTACTAACACCTCACAAGATTTTGATTCTGCGTCTCTGTTTATACAACCGAGGATGGTATTCGCAGACCAGAACAATAAAAAAGGAGACAGGAAGGGCGGACGAGTTTCACAACACATAAGAAGGGAAGAAGGACAGGGTGACTTTGTGGTCGCCAAAAATTAGCGTCTTTTCCAACCGGCTCGCGTTATGAAAAAGCAGAAGATTTCACGAGCGGCTGATGGCTTCCTCAGACGCCTTGGGAAGCTTCTGCTTTTTAATAAAAAGAGTCGTAAAAAGCTGCCACCAGACTCCTGTTTTATTTATTTTTTTACAATCACGGCTAGGGAGCAATTGTGCCGCTTGTATATTATCTCCGGCCTCGGTGCCTCCCAACCTCGTTGCTAAGCAAGTAATCTTAAGCCATCAATAATTCACCTCTTCTCCCTTGCAAATGGACAAAGACGCTGTCTGATCCTTTTAGTGTTTTTCTTTTGGAAGATCTTTTAATGGCTCACACTCGCTTCCCCCTCCTCCCCCACCCACGATTTCCTGATTAGTCCATTTGTCTTTTTCTCGCTGGCACACGCAACAAACTCACAAATGCCTTTCTTGCTTCTGCTTTCCAATATTCCCTTCCAAAGCATCACGGTGTGGGGAGGAATTATTACACCGGCAGTGTGGCTGATTTGGTTCCTTCCAAAGGCCTACAGCACCCATCATTCCCAGCCTGGGTGGCCTTGGGGAGGTAGGGAACATGGATCAGAAAGCAAAGCCAAATTTTAAATAACCCTCCCCCATAATGTCAGAATGGGGAGTGGGGAGAAGGAAAGGGCCATGTCGCATATCTCTGATTATACCCAATTTATGCAGTGAAACTCACCAATCTTAGCTTTATTCTATTTATTATTATTATTATTATTATTATTATTATTATTATTATTATTATTGACAGGTTCTTACCACCTGGCGTGTCTATTTGTTTGGAATTAAGATGCCTGCCAAGGTGAGTGGAACAAAAGAGAGAAAATAGGTTATTTAACACAGGGTATCTCAACCTCAACAACTTTATAAGACATCTGGACTTCAACTCCCAGAATCCCCCAGCCAGCAAAGCTGGGAATTCTGGGAGTTGAAGTCCACAAGTCCTAAAAGGGCCAAGTGTGTGGAGAAGTGAAACAAAATGAATAGAATAGAATAGAATAGAATAGAATAGAACAGAATAGAATAGAAGAATAGAAAAAAATATGGAATGGAATGGAATAAGAATAGAATAGAATAAAATAGAATAGAATAGAATAGAATAGAATAGAATAGAATAGAATAGAAATACGGAATACGGAATGGAATGGAACGGAACGGAACACAATAGAATAGAATTCTTAGACCTTGGAGGTTTAAAGTCCCCACATTGTGGGTGAAAAAAACAACACAAAATATACAACCATTGTACACCCTCCACACTCATGTGATCACAATCCAGGTGCTTAGTAACTGGTTGGTGAATAGAATAGAATAGAATAGAATAGAATAGAATAGAATAGAATAGAACAGAATAGAATAGAAGAATAGAAAAAAATATGGAATGGAATGGAATGGAATAAGAATAGAATAGAATAAAATAGAATAGAATAGAATAGAATAGAATAGAATAGAATAGAATAGAATAGAATAGAAATACGGAATACGGAATACGGAATGGAATGGAACGGAACGGAACGGAACACATAGAATAGAATTCTTAGACCTTGGAGGTTTAAAGTCCCCACATTGTGGGTGAAAAAAACAACACAAAATATACAACCATTGTACACCCTCCACACTCATGTGATCACAATCCAGGTGCTTAGTAACTGGTTGGTGAATAGAATAGAATAGAATAGAATAGAATAGAATAGAATAGAATAGAACAGAATAGAATAGAAGAATAGAAAAAAATATGGAATGGAATGGAATGGAATAAGAATAGAATAGAATAAAATAGAATAGAATAGAATAGAATAGAATAGAATAGAATAGAATAGAATAGAATAGAAATACGGAATACGGAATACGGAATGGAATGGAACGGAACGGAACACAATAGAATAGAATTCTTAGACCTTGGAGGTTTAAAGTCCCCACATTGTGGGTGAAAAAAACAACACAAAATATACAACCATTGTACACCCTCCACACTCATGTGATCACAATCCAGGTGCTTAGTAACTGGTTGGTGAATAGAATAGAATAGAATAGAATAGAATAGAATAGAATAGAATAGAATAAGAAATGGAATGGAATGGAATGGAATAAGAATAGAATGGAATAGAATAGAATAGAATAATAGAATAGAATAATAGGATAGGATAGGATAGGATAATAGAATAGGATAGGATAGGATAGGATAGAATAATAGGATAGGATAGGATAGGATAGGATAGGATAGGATAGGATAGGATAGGATAGGATGGAATGGAATGGAATAGAAATAAGGACTAGAATAGAAATAAGGACTAGAATAGAATAGAGTAGAATAGAATAAGAATAGAATAGAATAAGAATAAGAATAGAATAGAATAGAATAGAATAGAATAGAATAATAAAATATGGAATGGAATGGAATGGAACGGAACGGAACAGAATAGAATTCTTAGACCTTGGAGGTTTAAAGTCCTCACATTGTGGGTGAAAAAAACAACACAAAGGAATCAGGAAAATGCCTATCCTGTACTGTTGTCAAGAAAAAACACACAGCACTCGACTCAAACAAAATGTAAATTTTATAATTGTAGAAATTGAGACTAAATTTCTTCCTTCTCTTATATAGCCCGAAAGCTCGTTCAACGTCTTGGAGATCCGAGCATTAAACACATTGAATCATAACCAGGTAAGAAACAGCCCATTTTGCTAGAAAAGTTAATTGGTATTATTTATTGGCTGGAGGATCGATCTTTATGAAGTTCCTTCCTTCCTTCCTTCCTCCCTCCCTCCCTCTCTCCCTCACTCACTCCTTTCTTTCTTTCTTTCTTTCTTTCTTTCTTTCTTTCTTTCTTTCTTTCTCTCTCTCTCTCTCTTTCTTTCTTTCTTTCTTTCTCTCTCTCTCTCTCTTTTTCTTTCTTTCTTTCTCTCCTTTCTTTCTTTCTTTCTTTCTTTCTCTCCTTCCTTCCTTCCTTCCTACTAGATCTTGGTGGAAACAGAGAAAGCAAATTATAACCTGAAATTTCCAACTGCAGAAAGTGCCGGACAGGTGACCAGACACGTCAACTCTGCCTTAGCCAAAATTTTCCCCAGTCCGGCTTCCGTGTGAGTAGGCGAGAAAAAGCAGGAATGCTGGGAAATGATCAAAAATGCCTGGTGTTTTGAGGGTTTTTTGCTGGTAAAGGTAGTCCACAACTCACCGTTCAAACGGTCATAAATGTGGGCCGGTTGCTGAGCTCCCAAAATGTGCTGGCAGGACTGCAGAAGGCGGAGTCCAGCATCAGGATTTTAAAACCAGGGTCCATCGCAACTTGGAACGGTCGCTAAGCGAGGACTACCACGCAGACTGTGTGAGAAAGGTATAAGATCTCAAGTGCTCCTGATATAAGTTCCTTTCTCTCTGCCCCCCCCCCCACCTTACTCCATTCCAGCTGCCTGATCCGGCACGGGAACGTGGAAACTCCTGAGACTTCCCGGGACGTCTCCCCCAATTCGGAAAGTTCGAATTCCACCATTCACAGCATTTGCGGTGAGAAGGAGATTCGGCGCGCGCGGAGTCTGCCTGGGGTTTTCAGCCCCGTATCCTTGTAGTCCAGAGAGTTCAGGCAGGGCTCTCTTCCTTCGAAGCAAATTGTATGAAATTTTAATTACAGCGATGGCATTTTCCACTTAGCCCACTGACCCGAATCCCGGAAGCGTTCGTCTAAAAAGCTACAAATTGCTTGGCTGGATCGGAGGAGCCCCACTTAGCCTCGTATTCTGCTTTTAAGCGCTCGCAGCCACGGAGGCTTTAGAAGCTGATAAATCATATTTCTGTCTCGTTCCCTCCAGCCCTTGGCGATCGAAGATATATTGCCTGGAGAGGCTGTGGTTTCATTTCAAGGAAAGCCGATCGCAGAAAAGTCCATTTTAAACATAATTCTTTGCTATTGGTTGTGGCCTCGATCTAAACGTTTGATGCTGTTTAGGCTCAGGATTATCAATATCAGCGTTATTGACCGAGTCGGAAGTGACTGGCTCTAGCCTTGCTTGAAACAGAATTTTTTTTGGGGGGGGGGGAATCGCTTTGCTAGGATTTCGGGAAGATGTTTCTCGCCCCAGGTCTTCCTGAGACACTAGAAGATTGTCTGGATGCAAGGTTTGCCTTACGAATAAAACGGGAACTCTTGATAAAAAGGTACAGGTAAAAAGGTGGCAGGTACAAATCTGATCCTCAGCTGGTCGAGCTTGTGCAGAAAGGCCGTGGAGAGGGAATATAACTCTTTTTTCCCTCGTCCCCAGGTGGTTTCTCTGAAACGTATGCGGCCCTTTGCGATTACAACGGACAGTCTTGCCGGGAAGAAGTTCAATGGGTGAGCTGACCAGCTGAGAAGACTGAGGGATGGCTTGTTTTCTTGAGCAAAACTGACTGCCTTCCTTCCTTCCTTTGTTCCTTCCTTCCTTCTCTCCCACCTTCCTTCCTTCTCTCTCCCCTCTCCCCCCTCCTTCCCTCTCCCTCTCCTCTCCCTCTCTCCCTCTCTCTTTTTCCCTTTCCCTCTCCCCCTCTCATCTGCCTCTCCCTCTCCTCCCTTCTCCCTCTCCTTCCCTCTCTCCCTCTCCTTCCCTCTCCCTCTCCCCTCTCCCTTTCTCCTTTCCTTTTCCTCCCTCCCTCTCTCCTCTCCTTCCCTCTCTCCTCTGCTCCCTCTCCCTTCTCCCTCCCCCTTTCCTTTCTTCCCTCTCCCTCTCCTATCTTCTCTCCCTTTTCCTCTCCCTCTCCTTCCCCCTCTCTCCCTCTCTTTTCCTCTCCTCTCCCTCTCCTTCCCCCTCTCTCCCTCTCTTTTCCTCTCCTCTCCCTCCCTCTCCTTCCGTTTCCTTCTGCTTCTCCCTTCCCTCTCCCCTTTCCCTTTCCTCCCCCTCCCTCCCTCCCTCCCTCTCTCCTCTCCTCTCCTCTCCTTCCCTCTCTCCTCTCCTCTGCTCTCTTCTCCCTCTCCCTTTCCTTCCCTCCCTCCCTCTCTCCTCTCCTCTCCTCTCCTTCCCTCTCTCCTCTCCTCTGCTCTCTTCTCCCTCTCCCTTTCCTTCCTCCCCCCTCTCTCTCCCTCTCCTATCTTCTCCTCTCCCCCTTCCTCTCCCTCTCCTTCCCCCCTCTCTTTTCTTATCCTCTCTCTCCCCCTCTCCTCTCCTTCCCTCTCCCCTCCCCTCTTGTCTTCTCCAAAAAGTCTCCTCCAGTCCCGTTTCTTCTGAGAGCTCAGCAGCCTCTTATTTACGCACTCTCTCCTCTGCCGCTTTCCCTCCGGCTCCCAAGGTCCTTCCCACATGCCATGACAATAGGGACAGAGGAGAACAGGGGAAGAACACGGGTGCTTAAGGAGCTGCTGGAGGTCCTGGGAGGAATCCACTGTAGTAATAATTGAATGTTTTTCTTTCTCCGGCCCTCAACCGCTTCCAGGACGTGGACACGATTTATCATTCTGAAGACAACCGGGAGTTCAACCTGTTGGATTTTTCCCACTTGGAAAGTCGGTGAGAAGCTCCCTTTGGAGCCCCCCCCCCATTACCCAGCTGACTCCCCTATCTTCTCAACTCCAGAACATGGGAATTCTGGGAGTTGAATTCTACCCATCGTTAAATGGTTTAGTTCGTTCCGCAAACCCCAGCAAATGATGGGAATCTGGAAAGGGGTAGATTCGGTTACTGAGTTAAGCATGATGTGTTAATTTATCAAAAAACGAGAATATCTAGTCTAGGGGCAGCTACAGCAGCCATCTTGCCTTTCTGATTCCTCCCTCTTGTGTTCGATAATTCTGGAATTTAATCTTAATCTTAATCTCAATCTTAATCTTAATCCCAATCTTAATCCCAATCTTAATCTTAATCCCAATCTTAATCTTAATCCCAATCTTAATCTTAATCTCAATTTTAATCTTAATCTTAATCCCAATTTTAATTTTAATCCCAATCTTAATTTTAATAATTTTAATTTTAATAATTTTAATTTTAATAATTTTAATTTTAATCCCAATCTTAATCTTAATCATTGTGCAGGCCTTCCAAAGGGGTAATCTGCTGGTCATCTTCGATAAGATTCAGAATTTGAAAGAATTCTCTCTTTGAGAGAGGATGGTTTTTAAAACTGGAAAATTATCAACTGGGGGAATAAAAGACGATGGCTCTCCCTTCCCACCAAGGAACATGGGAGTTGTAGTGTCATCAACCAGCCGAGGTTCTGTCCTCCTTCAGCCCCTTCTTTCGTTTTCTTTTTGTTCTTTTCTCAGGGGACTCCAGTGCTCTAGGCCAGGGGTAGGCCACCTTGGCTCTTTTATGACTTGTGGACTTCAACTCCCAGAATTCCTGAGCCAGCATGGGGGAACTATGGCTCCCTTGATGACTGGTGGACTTCAGCTTCCAGAATTCCTCAGCCAGCATGGCTCAGCTTGGAAACCTCTCCCTTTTCCCTCAGCATGGCTGGCTCAGGAATTCTGGGAGTTGAAGTCCATGAGTCATAAAAGAGCTGAAGTTGCTTAACTCTGGCCTAGGCCTAGGCCGCTTTATGACTCATGGACTTCATCTCCCAGAATTCCTGAGCCAGCCTGGCTCAGCTTGGAAACCTCTCCCTTTTCCCTCAGCGTGGCTGGCTCAGGAATTCTGGGAGTTGAAGTCCATGAGTCATAAAAGAGCCAAGGTGGCCTACCCCTGGTCTAGTGCAGAGGTAGGCAACCTTAGCTCTTTTATGACTCGTGGACTTCAACTCCCAGAATTCCTGAGCCTGCATGGATTCTGGGAGTTGAAGTCCATGAGACATAAAGCGGCCTAGGCCTAGGCCAGAATTAAGCAACCTCAGCTCTTTTATGACTCGTGGACTTCAACTCCCAGAATTCCTCAACCAGCCATGCTGAGGGGAAAGGGAGAGGTTTCCAAGCTGAGCCAGGCTGGCTCAGGAATTCTGGGAGTTGAAGTCCACGAGTCATGAAGGGGCCAAGGTGGCCTACCCTTACTCTAGGACACTGTTTCTCAACCTCTGCCGCTTTAAGCCGCATGGACTTCAACTCCCAGAATTCCCCAGCCAAAAAAAATGCTGGCTGTGGAATTCTGGGAGTTGAAGTCCAGGCAGCTTAAAGGGATTAAAGTTGAGAAACTCTGCTCTAGGGTGAGTTTTAAAAGCAGAGGATAACTTTTTGAGACAAACCATTACTGGTTTATCCTCCTTCTAACTCCCCCCCCCTTTTCCATTTTTTTCTTCACGTCCCAGAGATCTGGCTTTGATTGTGGCAGCTTTGGCTTACAACCAGTGGTTTACCAAACTTTACTGCAAGGATTTGCGGCTGGTAAGTTCCCGCGACTGTTTTTGAGTCCTTTCTTATCTGTGGTCACTTTCTGCTCACTGCAGCCAGTCCTCGACTTAACAGCAGTTCATTTAGCGACCGTTTAAAGCAGGGGTCTTGAAACTTGGCCCTTTGATGACTTGTGGACTTCAACTCCCAGAATTCCTCAGTCAGGGTGCCCGGCTGAGGAATTCTGGGAGTTGAAGTCCACAAGCAGGGGTCTTCAAACGTGGCCCTTTGATGACTTGAGGACTTCAACTCCCAGAATTCCTCAGCCAGTGGATGGATGGATGCAAAGTTGGAGGGATGGAAAGATAAATGGATGGATGAATTAATGGATGGAAAATTGGATGGAGAGATGGATGGATAGAAATGGATGGATGGATGGATG